AATTAGCTATTTGTAGTAAAAAATATCAAATTTTTGCTTTGTTTTGAGTGGGTGTTATTAGAATAGATTGGGCAAACTTAAGGAGCTTGAATCTCAGTTTTGGGATAATTTGGTGAAGTTTTGAGGTGGTTTCAATTGAAAATTCGAAGTAAAAGCTGAACATGAAAAAAAATGATATGTGTATCACACTGTGTATCATTTGTGTATCACATATGTATTAATTGTGTATCACATGTATATCCATGTATACCTGTGTGTGTGATATATGCGTGATACATGTTTGATATATGTGTCGCGGAAGACTTTTTTGGACTCGATTTAGTTACGAATTTTGATACAAAACCAGTCCAAATCACCTCCAATCTTCCTCAAATTTTGTATATTGACTTATCTATATATTTTCAATGAATTTCAACTATACCCATTGAAAAAGTTCCTTTTTTGTTTAGATTTTTGGAATATTGTATAGATTTTTGTATTTCATCACCTTATTTGCTACCCCGTCCATGAAATTTCCTTTCCGTCTTGTATCTAATGTTGCTAATCACGCTTAAAAATATGGAAGGTAATTTTTGCATGTGATTCTTTGAGAGAAATAACCCTATTATTTGGTTTATGTTATAAAACAAGAAAAGAACAAGAGCAATATTGCAGAGAAAGAGAGAGAGAGGGAATTCTTATTGAATTTTGGGGTGAATTACAATGGAATAGAACCCTCTATTTGTAGGGAGAGAGTGACTTAGCCACCAAGTAATAAACCCTAGAATCTCTCTAAATATAGACATTCACCATAAATAAAATTCTATTTATAACACTCCCCCTTGAATGTCTATTCAACAGATAATGTGCCTCGTTAAAACCTTAACTAAAGTAAAACCCAGTGGAAAAAAATTCTAAAAAAGGAAAAAGAGTACACATATCTAACAATACGCCTTTTGGTTGCCTCGTTAAAAACCTTGCAAGTAAAACCCAGTGGGACAAAACCTTGTAAGGAAAAAAGAGTACAACGCGTATTAACTCCCCCTCATGAGAGCATCACTTCACATCCTTAAGCATTTGCATTCCAATCTTGTGCACCATCTTCAAAAGATCTTTTGAACGAATTTGTTTCACCTTGAAATCATCATTCCTAATAGATGTATTGTCTTCATATGATCTTGTTGGAATCGTCAGTTCAATATCTTCACATAGAGGTGAAAACTCTTGCTATCATATTATCATGCATATAGTTATAGCAAGATACATTTGTGCACAAATTGCACTGATGAAGTGGTACTTCAAGATCAAGAATTGTATATGCTTCAAGCAACTTAAATCCTTCATGGATTGTCATATAAGCCATATAAATAGACTTTAGATTTGTATCAAGTTTTCATGTCATGCCAGACATATAAGATACATAAAGGTGATAGCACACACCATTGTCTTTATACTTTTAAGTGTTTGAACTACATGTTCAAAACTACATGGCTTTCATATGAAACCAATTCTATTTGAATTGTTTCTTCAGACTTAAGATCCTCATATATATATATATATATATATATATATATATTAGCGCTATCATCGATGTCGTCGACAACTATTTATATCTAGTTCTAATTATTTTCTATAAGTACATAACATAGAGATCTCTTCATTCATATTTTCAGGTACCTGAATCTCTCTTGAGATTTATGAAGTGTTATGTCATGTGATCTTCTGGATCACTTGCCTCATTTATTATGATCATTTTGATCATTTGCTCATCTTCTTTATCAAGAAGTTTATTTGAAATCGATTGTCTATACGCTTTAAACGTACCATAGACTTTGTCCTTCTAGGACTTAATAAGAGCATTTGCAATGAGAATATAGTTACTTCCTTTGGGTCAGCAAATGCGTCTGGCATGCTTTGCAATATATTGCAGATGAATTATCTTTTATGAACTTCAAGTTCATATTATCTTATTCGAGGATCTAGATGTACACATGATAATTCATTCCACGTAACTTTTTCTCAACTGTTTATCATGTCTCCCCCTCATGTTAGAAAAACTAACTTGTTTCCTTAACTTTAAGAACTCATCTTAGTGCATTATGGTGTTAATTAAAATATACAGCGCACATCAATAATAATAAGATGAAATTATTTGGTTCCTGACCCTGAACCACTTGTGAGGGGAGAAAATAATATACTTTCGTATATAACGTATATCAAACTGATATATATTACTTTGTTCTCATAAGCAATAGTTTAGCTATTAAGTGGAGGCACTCAATAAATTATTTTGCTGAACCAACTGTGATGTAAACCAACTTATCAAGATGAACTTCTTAAAAAATCTGGAAATTATGCTCGAAATTAAATTATTGAGCAAGTTACCTCGTAAACACCATGTTGCGGATTAATAATAATCGCACATGTAACCATATCATAGATGCATCTTATGTGGTATACATGGCAGGTGAATGGGCCCATATTCACCTTTGATATTTCCAGCATTCATGAGATTCAATCCCAATTTTAATTGGTCTATTAATTAATGAGAACAAGCAATGTACGAGAATTCATAAAGAACTTTCTAGTTCTTTAATATTTACCCATGTGAATTCTCTTTTATTTTTGCACATCATACTTGAATTAACATGGCTAAATCAATTATGCCAACTGGATAAATTATCAATATTGTAAACTACAGGTTTACACCATGATGTGTGCAATTATGAATAAACACCAAGTTTATTATGATATGGGTTTTTATATCAATAAACTTCTCTTTATTGTGGCATTCTTTTGTTTGTGTAGTACAAACTGGAGAATAAAGCGGGTAGCTTTGCACATACATATTACCCCGCTACAAGTTGTAGTAATAGAAGATATTAAATTTTTCCTTTATTTATAGTCTCAATATGATCAACCGCTTTCGCGTATATTTTGGAAACTGAATAAGTTTCTTTGAGACTTACTACAACACAATACCTTATTGGTAATCAATTGTGTTTCTCCAAAATAGTAATAATTGGCTCTTCCAGAGCTCTCAATTAATTTGGTACTACCACATATTCATCAACATCCATATGGTGAATATCTCTTTTAAAGAGAAAGTTATACCATTATGGTTATGGTCAAAATTATGTGCAAGATCTGTTTCTTGCATTACCGTTGTCTTTTAACAATCACAATGCCAAAATATTTTGGCGTACAATAGGTACGTGACCAATGGCCATTCATGCCATAATAATGACATTATTTTCTTATATCATCTCAAACCTCCTTTTAGAGGTGAGTGTGGTATATTCACTACCACTAGCACATTCATATTCTTCCAAGAATAAATATGTATTCATAAATCAGATGTTTTCACATTCACATCATGAATGGACCATAATCATCTATATGTGCTTTATAAAATATCATGTCAAATCGATGACAAATATTACTTTCACAGAATGAAGGATGATTTTGAGAATCCTTATTATTCTCATTATCACAATGATGATAATTATAATTTCGTCTATTGCTACGTCCACATCCATTGATACCTTCACGGTAATAATTTTGTCTGCTTTCAGACTTATCACATATTGCTATCACATTCTCTTAAGGGAATGAGAATGGAGCAAATTCAATGGGACGAGTTTTCACTTCTTGTGCTCACGATCATACACGACTTTGATCATGGCAAGGCATAGAAATTTTACAGGTGGTTATAATTTCTTACAAACTCCATTAGAATTGTAATCAAAATTTATTGTCTTTGCTTGTATTTAAAATCAAATTATAGAATAAAAGAGAAAAATACGGTAAAATACTTACCTTAAATCCAGAATTTAATCATGAAGGAAGTTCATGGAACAATTGACAATCATTATGCTCAATCCCAAAGTTTCTACTCAATTGGTTAGAGTCTCGTGCTGATAACGTGTTATAAACAATAAAAGAACAAGAGCAATATTGCAGAGAAAGAGAGAGAGAGAGAGAATTCTTATTGAATTTTGGGGTGAATTACAATGGAATAGAACCCTCTATTTATAGGGAGAGAGTGACTTAGCCACCAAGTAATAAACCCTAGAATCTCTCTAAATATAGACATTCACCATAAATAAAATTCTACTTATAACAGTTTATCAATTTTTGTTGGCTAGTTTTGGTAAGTCTATGACTAATGGCTAGAGGTTGGTAAGTTGAGATTTATTTGGGACATTTGTGTAAGTTTCCCTAAAACATTCCCATTCCCCTTAACCCAGAGATGAGAATCAGATTTTTTTTTCCCAAACCAACTCGAAGACCAGCGTTGTTTCCACCATTTCTAGTAGGGGTGTTCATGGTTCGGTTTGGATTGATTTTTCCCTAAAAAGAAACCAAACCAAGTAAGTTGGTTTTTCAAATATTAGAACCAAACCAAACCAATTAAGTCGGGTTTTCTCGATTTGGTTTATGTCGGTTTTTCGGTTTTTTCGGTTATTTGTCGTGTTTTTCTTAAATTATAAGACATACATTACCAAACACATATTCCGGCGATCACATTTTCAGTGCAACACTATCAAATCAATTGCCCTTTGAGAAATCTATTATTTACCAAAATATATTGATGATAATTGAATCAAATAGTGATGAATAATTTAAGGACTCAATTCAAAATATGTTATTTTTAACACGAAATGGATTCTTACACTAAACAAAAAAAAAACTACCAATCAAACTAGAATGTAAAGGTAAATAACTATATTAAAAGTGCAAACTATTAACATTTACCATAATTTTTTGAAACTTTGTATAACAACATACATATATATAGGTGTAATAATAAATTTGAAATAGCTACTCCTATAGTCGGTTTGGTTCGGTTTTTTTCTTATTAAAACCAAAACCAAACCAAATTTGATCGGTTTTTAAAATTCAAAACCAAAACCAAACCAAACCAAAAAGTATCGGTTTAGTTTGGTTTTTCGGGTCTTTATGCCGAAGAAGAACGACAAAAAATAAAAACAAAGAGAGACGACCCCCCCCCCCCAAAACCTAGCTGAACGGCGCACCCCTTCCCTCTCTCCCTTCACTCTCTCTCTGAACACAAACGAAGGGAGTTCTGGTTCTGTTTAATTCCGTTATTATTGGTTTCACTCGCTCTTCATAAACTGGGGCTGTCGATTTGAAGTGTTGTGGATGCTGTGGATTTCGTTGCAGCTGTGTTCTATCGCGCTGTTTTTTCAGATCTCTATTTGGTTGATATTCCATTTCTGCTAGCTAGGTATTTACTTCAATTCATAGACTCAAATTTGTCTGATTTGGATCCTGAATATATCATTTGGTTTATTGATTTCTGTGTTCACTTGACTTGTTTGTTAGTATTACATGAGTTTATGTTGAGTTCAGTTCATGATTCTGTCGTCTTTCCTCGTACATGCTTTAAATGTGAAGTTGGTTCCAAGTAGTGAAAAATTGCGATTCTAACACCTGGAACAGCAAACAAATTTTGCAAATGAAAGGTTCTTTGGAGTTGAAATCGAGCAACACCTTTGTCTTGATTGCTTTTTGGTTGATGAATCTCATATTTCCTTTTGCTCTATATTATTACACAAGAGACTAACTGTCCCTTATATTGAACAGTTTGAATTGTCATTCCAAAGTAATGAGGAACTCTTATAAGAACATAGATAATAAAGTTAACAGAATGCCTTTATCTTGATTGCTTTGTTTCGGATAATGTACTGAACATTTTTCTTGCCAATCCATCTCCTAACCATAGTGACAGAACTTATGATAAGCTCAAACAGCAAACTTAGAAAGTAGGTAAATATCTGAACATCGTAGCTTGCTTTAGGCGCAATTAATAATAAATCCTCGCGACTATGGTACGGTTCCCATGGCATAGTTGCGATACATAAATCCAAATTCGGTTGTGCATTTCACATGACCCGATCATAACTTCGAACAATAATAAAAACAAGCATATTGTAGATTGTGGGTGCGGTTCCCGTGACGCGATTCGCAATGTGTACAAAAACAAAAAGTGCGCGACATCGTGACTTGTTCAAACAAACTCCATAAATAAATAAAAGCGGTTATAAATTTAAAAATGCACAATAGGCTTAAAACATGTAATTAATCAGATAATTAGGCCAATTATAAATAGTTGAGCGACCGTGCTAAAACCACGAAACTCAGGAGTGCCTCACACCTTCTCCCGGGTTAACATAATTCCTTACCCGGTCTTTTGTGTTCGCAGACTTTAAAACAATCTTTCCTCGATTGGGATTTAAAAAATAAAACCGGTGACTTGGGACACCATAAGTTATTCCAAGTGGCGACTGGCGACTCTGAATAAATAAATAATCCCATTTCGAATAATGTCACTTAAATTGGAAAAACTCCCTATCCCCTCGGGAAAAAGGAGGTGTGACAATCGATTGTTCCTCTACCCTTGATTTCTTCTCTGGAATTAACTGCTTCTGTGAATTTTCCTGTATGCTATCTATTATACTATGCCCGTCCATTGTATTCTTAATTGAGCCGAGCTGGAAATTTTCTGAGTTTTTCGTTTTCTTTGTCATGCTCTTTATGTGTTCGGAGTTACTAATGAATTGCCTTTTCGTTTTTTTTTAATTTCCGTCTTTCTGAGCCGAGGGTCTATCGGAAACAGCCTCTCTGCCCTATCGGGGTAGGGGTAAGGTCTGCGTACACATTACCCTCCCCAGACCCCACTTTGTGGGATTTTACTGGGTAGTTGTTGTTGCTCTTTATGTGTTCGACAATTTGCTCTGATAAGAGAAAACAGAAACTATAGCCATCGCCGACGTGGTGCAGGTAATTGGCTAAGTTGTTCTAACACGGCAGTTTAGGTGCCGCACCCGTGTCGACACGACACTAGTATGGGGGTGGATATGAGATCTGTACCGGATATGGTCAAACAATTTTGGGAACTTTGACCACGACAGAAGAAAAAATTCGAGACGAGATACAATTTGATTCCCGAAATCAAAACCAAAACTAGGGTAAATTTGAAGAGAATAGCATATACCTTATCTAGGAAATCAATCCTTTACATATCTATAACTTGAGAATAAAAAATAAATACGTACTTTCAAGCTATACGTAAACGTAAGTATTCCACATTTTTTTATAATTTAGAGATATTTTTATATTTTTTGAATTATTTTTAGCTAGATCCCCGCACCTGTATCCGTACTAGGATCCGTATCCCCGAACTAAGAATTTACATTTCGAAGGATCCGACCTCTAGATCCGCACCCGTGTTGGACACCTGCACCCGTGTCCGAGCAACTTAGGTAATTGGTATGTTAGCTGAATTAAATTTAGCTTAATCCCGATACATCAATTTTTGCTGGTAAATTTTGGGTTAAACTAGACATTTATTTTTGAATTTTCTGCGGTCCGGTTAGCGAAGGGGAGCCTTGGCATAACGGGTAAAGTTGCTATCATGTGACCAGGAGGTCACAGGTTCAAATCGCGGAAACAGCCACTTGCAAAAATGCAAGGCAAGGTGGCGTACAATAGACCCTTGTGGTCTGCCCTTCCCGGATGTTGCGCATAGCGGGAGCTTAGTGCACCGGGCTGCCCTGGTTAGCCTGTTAGGCTGAGTTTCTTGCCTCTTAATATCTGCTTAATTAGTGTGTATCTTATCTTATTTAAGCACTTGAGCCTTTCGAGTAAAAGAAGCATTGTTATATCTGACAGAACTCATCTGCTTCTCTATCATTGCCTTGGGACAGTTTGATATAACTCTATCTATGGATCCGTCCCTGATTTATTGAAGTTGTATTTTGGTTAAAACGGAAGGTTATTTACAATTTGAGATAAATGGGCTTCTCTTCTTAATTCTTGCTCATCTGTTTCCAATTATATCTTGCAGAAATGCCTGTTTTGGCAAGTTCAGTGTTTTCCTCAGCCACATGGCCACTGTGCAACCCATCAAAGATTAAGCAACACTCTAGTACACCCATCTTTAGGAGGCTGACTTTAACAAGATGTCAAGCCAAAAGATGGTAAGATTTTCTTTGACAATTTGACGATCAGCTTCTGTGCAATTGTAAGGCTTTTCACTAGGTTAACTCTATTCTTGACGCTAGCTGTGATTGTTATGATATGTACAAAGAGCTAGTCCCATATGCCAATGCATGGTCTTGGCAAAAGGCCATTGTTGACAAGAGGAAAGCACAAATTATAAGGAATGAGGATCTTGCAGACACACTCATTGTACTGCAGCATCAGCCTGTTTATACCTTGGGTACTGGTAGCTCTGAAGAAAATCTACATTTTGACATAAAGAATGCTCCATTTGAATTGTACCGAACAGAACGTGGTGGTGAAGTAACTTACCATGGCCCTGGTCAGGTACATTTCACTTGCTGCCTACTTCCCCAACTATCTTGATGCAGTATGATCCTCATTTTTCGTTGTATACTCTTCGGCCGACTGAATAGGTTGTTTTTAATGCTTGATGACAATGATTCAAGGGGTTGCAAAGTTTCTATTCTAAGTTTTCTAATCAGATGTTGGTAAGTCAAAATGGGGTTTTGACAAGAATGCTGTGATACTCCGCTGCGTAACTGTTGGTGCAGGGATGTTTAGATGGCGTTAGGTTTCCCCTTTTTGAATATATTTACTTAGGATTACAAATGTGCTTAAAGACTTTGAAAGTAGAAGAATCATGTGTTCGTTTGAGCTCTTACTGACATATAATGCTTTTATCTGAAAATGTAGCTAGTTATGTACCCAATCATCAATCTCCGGTATCATAAGATGGACCTTCATTGGTACCTCAGGAGCCTTGAGGAGGTCATCATACGAGTTCTTTCTTCATCATTTTCTATGGAGGCTTCAAGAATTGATGGCTTAACTGGTGTTTGGGTTGGTAAGTTCTGAGTCACCATATCATTTGAGCCTATATCAGTATGCAATGGTATTATCAGATATTTCTAGACAAGATATTAAGATGCTGTGGTTATCGAGAAACTTTTGGATTAGGTGAAAATAGTTCGTTAACATAATTTTTCATTGAAGGTTCCCCATGTGCTCTGGGGCATGTGAATGGCGTTGGTGACTTAGAACATCTTGTAAGAGTTGCCTAGTCAAGAGAACTGGCCACTTCAGCTCAGTTACTTACATTGTTGTTCTTCCCCTTCCACACACCTCACACACGAACCTTCTCTTCTTCCTATTTTTATCCCTCAACTATTCTATATCATTATTATTAATTCTGAAGGGAGGCGTGAAATACTGGTCTAACACTGTCTTCTTTCAGAGGGTCGGAAATTAGCTGCAATTGGTATTAGAGTATCTCAATGGGTCACGTATCATGGCCTAGCGCTGAATGTCACCACAGATCTGGCACCCTTTCAGCAGATAGTTCCATGTGGGATCCGTGATCGTCAAGTTGGAAGCATAAGGGGAATACTGAAGGAGTTCTCAGTCTCTACAGAAAACCATCAAGACACTGATGATGTCCAACTTATTGATATTGCGCATAAATCTTTAGTTAAAGAGTTTTCTGAAGTTTTCCAAGTTGATATCCATTGTAAACCTACACCTATTTTAACTTCTCGAGGAGAAAACCATTCTCGTGGCTTGACTAAGAAAAAGCTTATTCTTGAAGGGTGAATTATTCAAGAGATTTTACAAAGAATGATCAGATTTGATGCAATATTTTCAAGCGATTTGTCTGATTGATCTAAATTATGAGCATTGCAATTGATACTTTAATATGGATGCAGAGCAGTATGCTTTTGGCGTGTCGAACATATATGGCACTGATTAAGTGTTTATTATCATCAAACTCATTATTCCTGAAACAAACTTCTCTTCTTCCTTTTTGGATAAGTAAAAAACTTATTAACAAGGTGTAAAGTGGCAAAATATTCTTTTGTTGTATTTGGACATTTGTTCTGTGGCTTCCTTTCTATGTGGTATGGAGCTGCGTTATGGTTTCCTTCCTGTCTGGTTTCGATCTGCAAGTCATTTGCCAAAATTCTGCTTAAAAAAGAAACGGTATCAGGACCAAATACTGCATCAGATAATTGGACTAATGCAAACTCAAAGTTTCTATAGAACAAAAGAGAAAAGGATCAACATCTTCATCTACAAAGATTAGTAGTTTTCAGAAACAGGTCTTGAAGGAAAGAGCCTTTGAAGAAATGTAAGCAACGACCATAAGCAAGTTATTCCTAAGACTTGGAAAGTCACTATCAAAGCAACCAATGCTCCATTTCTGTCAAACAACTCGGGAGTGACAGGAGCTCCGCTCATGGCAAACATCAGCTTCTCCACAAAATGTACGGATCTTGTCAACTGATATATCCTGTAAACCTGCAAACATTTGAAATCCTCAATTCCCTGTTCTACCTCCCCCGACAAGAAAAAAGGAAAAGAGTAGCAGTATGCATACCTCAAAAATAATTGGCACCACAGGCCAAGAAGATGATCCATGTCTGTCAAGAAATTTCTCGAATAAATATTGTACCAAACAGCTAAGCAGAAAAGGAGCCACTGCAACCAAGCCTGGCAAGCCAAGTGAAGGCCAGGTAACATAAAGAGCAAAGAGTGGGGCAAAAATCTTAAACCCCATTACAAAGAAAGCAGATGTTATATATCCCTTTAGCCCAGTAATGAGGCTCCATCTCTTTGCACTGAATTGTAGATATGGCTTCTGAACATGGTCAGTGACCCGAAGGTATGTCGCAAGGCCAATATAAAACATGACCTCAGAGAAAAATGAAGACACAATTTCTGCAAAGACATGTAGATTTCATTAAATTTTCACATGTATAAAAGCAGGTGCATCACAGTTCCATGGCTTGTACAATTTGGAAAATTTCAGTTCTCCAAGTCTGATAACATGCTACCTTCTAGTAATGGTAAAATAGGAAGAGATTCTATTACATGATACAACTCTTCGACCAGCAAGATGCTTTTAGGTGGAAGAAAACTGACCATAAAATCAATATTCAAGATATCATAATGAGCTTAAACAAGCAAGCTACACATCGACCGAGCTTGCCTATTAAAACTATCATAACTACCAGAACCTATCCAGCTAGCCCAAAGTAACACTTTAACCTACATTTCAAAGTTGGGCATTTTTACTACATGCAGCTGATACAACAATCATAAACATAAAAGCAGAGGAATCTTCTGAGACACTAAATCTTGTTTTCCATCAGCTTAGAGCATACTGCTAATTACATATAGTGGGGATGTATCTGATTAACCATTTTAATTGTCTGAGCTAGTAGCTTCTACTCTCCATGAATGAATAGAATAGATGATTGCTAACAAACCATAGGAACTAATATGCGTTATCCCAAGAGAGACATACAGTTCATGATCGGATACCGTTGATAAGTCGAGTATTTAATAGGTATCAGCTAGATAACCACAACATTCAAGCTTAAGAAATTAGCATTGTCCCACTTCTTTGTTCATTAACAAGCTAAAAAATTATTCCTTAAATCTGAAAGGAGATATCCTAAATCATGTTATAAAGTTTGACTAAAATATTCCTCATTATACCATGAAAACATTCAAAGCTGATGATTGGTTAACATCATTTCTACAAATTTATATATCCAATCACTAGATTAGTCTGCACCACGAATTGCATATCCAGTCATTGGTTACAGAAATCAGCATATATAAAGTAACAACCAACTTCAAACTCAACTTTTTGCATACCTGCAAAGGTCGCGTTCTTGATTAAGTCATCAACTGCAACAGCAATGAAGAACCGAGGAAGCACTAAAGAAGAGATCAACGCAATAGGAGCAAGAACCCAGAGAAAGGAGCTTCTTTTTTCCTCAAAAGGGGCTGACACCAACTTACTTTCCTCAATCAGTTGGTGAGTAAGCCCGTGGAATGAAACAGAACCCGATTTACCCCGAAATGGTTCAGATCCATTACTGGCGATTACGCTTACACTCCTACTTTCCCTGCCATCATAATTTAACTTCTCCGGAGGACTAGAATTAGAGGCATACACTATCAACCCCTTCTTCAGTGATGGAATAACTGTAGTAAAAAATAGACCATATTGAAGCAAAGCAAAAAAGACTATATTTTGAGGCAATATAGAGGTACATAGAAGAGGAAATTAGAAAGAGAGAGGAACTTTGCATTCCAACTACGCACAATAGTATCTTTAAAGCAATATAGACACTCCAACAGAGGAAAATTTCAAAGAAACAAGAAAATTTACATTTCAACCCAGAATATTATCTTTAAAGCAACAAAATAAAACCCAAAAGAGAAATTGAAAGGAAGCAAGGAAATTTACATTTCAACCCAAAATACTATCTTTAAGTCAATAATAGGCATTCAACAGAAGAAATTGCAAAGAAAACGAGAAAATTTGCATTTTAACCCAAAATATATCTTTAAAGCAATAAAATAAAACCCAGCAGAGGAAATTGAAAAAAAAGAAAATTTACATTTCAAACCGTTTTGAGCAAAAGGGTTTCTTTTCTCCAATCGAACATAGCTTCTGCCATTGTTTTTCCGCACCAGAGATGACACAGAAACCTAAATAGAATTAACAAAATTTACAAGTGTATATACAGATAGCTATAGGCTAAAAACAAAAAAAAAAAAAAAAATACTTACATTGTGAAACTGGAATTGAGAACATTTGGGGATTGAAGCTTCATGTTGAAGCAAAGAACAAGCAGATTGCAGGTTCATATTTTGTTTTTTTTAAGGATAGTAGTAAACCCTAAACCCCATTTGAGCTCCTTTCTTTTTTTCTTTTAGATTCCAAGTATTAATTTACAAACCTCCCCGTATGTTTACTATAATGACACATGGCCTCATGCAGTTTGCAATATTACGGACACCTTATCCCATATTAACGCATTTGAACATCCGAGTCCACCAGCTAAAAGCTACTCTCTTTGTTTCAATTTATGTGAATTTATCATTACTACTTATTGGGGAAGTTAATGTCCCAATTTTACTTAGGATCTGTTTGAAAAATCATCAGGTAATTCAAATTGGTGTAATTACTAGCAAAGGCAGAGCCAGAATTTCAAGTTTATGGATTCATAATTCTAGTTGTTTTAAGCTTTGGGTTCTAAATTAATAATTTAGATATATTCAATGAATTTTGTAAGACAAATACATGGTTTGAACCAAAGCTACTGAGTTCGACCGAACCCGCTCGGTAAACTCTAGATCCGCCCCTGATTACTAGGATAGTAATTACACAGTGTTATAATTACGATTACCTGTTTGTTTGTCATAATATAATTACAGTGTAATTACAAGTATAATTACATAGTTAAATTAAATTTTATATATAAAGTTAATTAACAAAAATTAAAAGTTAAAATTTAACAAATATATACCTTTATAAATAATATTAATTTTGACATCTAAGATAGATATTGTTTCTTGAAAATATATTAAGTAATAATCATATATTTGTAACTAATATTGTAAAATTACTTGATATATATTTTTCAAAATTAACAATATTTTACTTTATCAATAATAAAAACTACAAGTACATATTTTGTAACAACATCATGGATTAATATTTATAAATATTATGCCATAATTTTAATTATATATTTTACGTAAAAATAATATATCAACTCTAATTGAAAAATGAATGGCATGCCATCTTAACTAATAAGTGAATACTATTAAAGCAAATAAAATAGAAGCGAAAATATAACATAAATTCAAAAAGAAAAAATTAACATAATACTCTTATGTAAAATTACAACATAACATAAACTAAGTTTCAACATAGTTTAAGTAAATATATTCAAAAGAAAAGGAAAATATAATTTTATAACCTCATTCAACAATGAGATTCTACTTAATGACATCACTCATATATGCTAAGTTTATTAATGATCCTTTCTTTTTAATATTAGGAGGAGGAATTTCAAAAAAAGAAAAAAGAATAATAGCACAATTGTGCGAAATAAAAAAGAAGAAAAAAATATGAGCAACTACATGGAACCACAAAAAATAAAGATCGAAAAATGAGAATATTATTTAAATATTAAAAAGTAATCTATCCTTTTAACATATTTAAGTTTGCATATAACCTCATCATAATAAAGTTCAACTCTAATAACATCACTCATTATAAGTCAACAACAACAACAACAACAACTATCCAGTATAATCCCACCAAGTGGGGTCTAGGGAGGGTAGGATGTACGCAGCCTTACCCCGACCCTTCCAGGGTACGGAGACTGTTTCCGAATGATCCTCGGCTAAAGAAGGTGAATGAGGCCCTGATAGCAAGTGATAGCAAGACAAATAGTTAGAAAACTAAATCGGAGATAACAACAAAGAATAGCAAGATAGTACCGATAACAAGTAATATCAAGATAGTATATTTAGATAGATAAGTCCAAGGCAGCACACGAGAATATGATGAAGTCCTGCTAGCAAACTACGGAATTATCGAAGGTAAGTAGTAACAGAACAAGACACGCGGCTATAGCAAACTAAGGAAAAAAGGGTACCATACTAGCACTAATACTATCGAAATAGGGAAGACCAAGGAGAGACGCCCAACTACCTACTAACCTTCCACCCTAATCTTCCACCTCCACACCCTTCTATCTAGGGTCATGTCCTCGGTCAGCTCAAGCTGTGCCATGTCCTGCCTGACCACCTCACCCCAAGACTTCTTAGGTCTACCTCTACCCCTCCTCTCACCTCCCAAGGCCAACCGCTCACATCTCCTGATTGGGGGATCTGTGCTTCTCCTCTTAACATGCCCAAACCATCTCAACCTTGCCTCACGCATCTTTGCCTCCACAGGGGCCACTCCCACCTTGTCCCTAATAACTTCATTCCTAATTCTATCCAATCTAGTATGCCCACACATCCATCTCAATATCTTCATTTCCGCTACTTTCATATGCTGGACATGTGACTTTTTGACTGGCCAATACTCTGCCCCATACAACAGTCGGTCTGACCACTATCTTGTAAAACTTACCCTTAAGTTTCAACGGCACGTTCTTATCACACATTATAAGTCAAATGACTTATTTTTTCTAAGATTACGAGGTATAATGTTTTAGAGAACTTAGAATAATAACATAGCTAAGTGTATTAAAAACAAAGAAAAATAAGTAAAAACGAAATAAAATATGAGAAATTATGTAGAAACGCGTACAGTAAATGTTAGGAAATAAGAAAATAAAAATGTAAAAAATATATATTTGAATTTTTTTTAAAGTTTAAAAAAATTAGAAGTAAAAAAAATAGAAATAAAAAGTAAACTAAAAAGAAAAAAAAAGAGTTTCAAAAAATAACCTGGGAATTACATCATGTAATTACTAGCAATTTTCAACTCTCCTTGAGAATTGCAGAGTGTAATTACACCCCCCAGTTACACCTAATTACATGCTGACCAAGTAATTACTTGGTCGGACAAACATGCCAAAACTGTGTAATTACACCCCAAATTCAATTACATGGTGGCTTTCCAAACATGCCTTTATTGTTTGGTCTTTCCTTTAAAATCATGAGTATTGCCTATGCTTTTGCTCCTCTCGATGTGTCTATTGAAATGCTTCTTTTTTTCCATCTTTTCTTGAATTGGTAATATATTGGAAATAACATTTCTACTTTCTCAAGATAAAGGTAAGGTCTGCTAAAATACTACTCTCCCCAGACCTCACTTGTAAAATTATACTATATTTATTATTATTGTTGTTGTTGTTGACGTGCTATTGAATAGTTCCGGTGAAAGAAGACTAGTGAATGCCGGCGTCGTAAATCATTTAAAATTAAAAGTTATGCTAAGTAATACAATAGTGAATATATTTTTTGTAAAGATAAATCTTTTCGACGGTTATGTAAACCCTTCCTCCCTTATTGTTAAACTTGCTACTAAGTATAAGTTTTTGGGAGGATAACAAAGTAAAACTCTTCCACAAGTTTGACATCAAGTGTGAAATGTAACATAAAAATGAGTTTTGCAGGAATTCTACCTAAAATCCCGGGCATATCAAATTCTTAAAATAATGAGACTAGTGATATGAACCTAGGGTAATTAGTGTGATTTACTTAAGTTAGTGGGTGTATCTGTAAGTATTAGAAGTTAGTAACTACCTACATGTGGGTTAGCTGTCAGATGTTAGTTAGTGGTTAGATATGTGTATATATATAGTGTAGTGTATAGAACAGAGGTGTAATTCATTCTTCTCTTTACTGAATGAAAGAAGAAGCTGTGAGCTCAATTTCCTCTTCCTGAGTCATCTGTGTGCGTGTGTGAGTTTCATCATGGTATCAGAGCCACACAGCTATTAGTGTGGTCTCTCCATTTCAATATTCGAATTTTACATCAGAAGCTCACTGAAGATAGCATCAATGGCATAAATTAACAACGAATTGCCGCGAAAACTCGGTCACAACCATCCTCTGTTTTTGAATGCAAATGACAACTCTGGAGTAGTATTAATCTCCTTACAACTACAAGGACCGGAGAGTTATTCTGGAGCCGAGCAATGCGAATTGCGATCCTAGGTCAAAACAAGCTAGGGTTTATCGACGGTATATGCAAAAGGGAAAATTACGGTACAAATCTCGTAGATCCTTGGGAGAGGTGCAACGCAAGTGTATTATAATGCATAATGAATTGTGTGTCACCGGAGCTGGTCAGTGGAATCGTTTACTCGTCAAATGCAACGGCTGTCTGGAATGGTCTAAAGGAACGCTTTGACAAAATTGATTGTTCAAGGATTTTTCAAATTCACAAAGAGATTGCAACTATTAATCAAGGTACTGCATCAATATCCTCGTATTTCTCAAAATTACGATTGATGTGGGTAGAGTTTGATAGCTTAGCACCAGCACCGGGATGCGATTATGCAAAATCGAATGAGTCAATAGCATTTATGGAGAGATTGAAGCTATTGCAGTTCCTAATGGACTTGAACGAGACATATGAACAAGCTCGCAGTCATATATTGATGATGGTACCAGTTTCTTCAGTGAATAAAGCATACTCAATGTTAATGGAGCTTGAGAGTCAAAGAGCCATGACCAATCATCCAGACATGACTGGGGGAGGTGATACAACTGCCTAAATGACAACTAGAGGTGGTGCTCCATTTAGACCTAAAAGACGCTATAATATATACTGTGATTTTTGCAAAATGAAAGGGCACACTCGAGAAAACTGCTACAAAATTATTGCTATCCAACAAACTTCAAGACTAAAAAGAAAGGGGGATTGAACTTTGCTAATTCTGCATCAGTTGAAGATGCTCAACCACAGCACTGGGGAACAAGAATGCATCTCAATTCAATGATAGGGCCACCACATCATCAAACTTTGGCATAGCACCAGTGTTTACTCAAGAATAATTCAACCAGATCTTGAAGATGCTGAATAAAGAAGGAGTGCCAGACACCTCAGCCAATACGGCAGGTATGTCCTATTGCAGTGCTTGCTTGGTAAGTGATACAACTAAGTCTCACAGTTGGATTATAGACACTAGAGCAACAAATCATATGACCTCCATTTATAGCCTATTGTCAAATACAATAGAAGTGATGAAGAACAATAGCAAAATAGTAAATTTGCCTAATGGAACCAAGGTAGCAGTATCACACCTTGGCAATTGCAGAATAAGAGAAAACCAGGAAGTCAAAAATGTGTTGTATATTCCCGATTTCAAGTACAACTTGTTGTTATTCTCTAAATTGACAAGGGAAGTTAAATGTATGGTTGCCTTCTTTCCTGGCTTTTGTGTGTTCCAGGACCTCTACACTGGAAAA